AAATTTTTTCCACGATGGACAAGTCGCGTGCCCTATATAATGCGAGGTTCTTATACGGGTTTTGCAGAACATGAGGTAGTTTTACGTGTATAGTTTGGGGGTCTTTTTTTCCAAATAATTCCTATTGGGAACATTTTTCTAATAAATAATTAAAAAGTGGGTTTTAATTAAAAAACTAAAAGTTTAACGTTGAAAATATTATTCACCTATTGTTAGTAAAAAATTCTTTTAGGCATGAAATCGTATTTTGAGGTATAGTTTAGGCACTAAAAACTCAGACCTCTGGTTCTGGAAGGCACATGAGTCTGAATGCTATGTTGAATATGCGACCAACACTACACTACGTAGGTACCTGTGCATGTGAGGCGTCGTTCGGTCCTAGAAACGACGACAATGACAGAAGGAGTTAACGACCGAACGTGCTGCAACCTAGGGTCCACCAGGCAGCTCTTTTGCTCTTTAGGGATTAGGGGCATAACACAATTCCTTGTTTTTTAAGGAGGGTTTGTTTGTCTAGGTGACTGATCCTGCCATAATGTACTCCTACCAATAGCACCGACAACCGAAGTTGAGCACATAGGACAATCTTCCGTATTAAGCCCATTTTGATTACATATTTGTTTTATGGGTTAACTACATGATTGATCACTTATGTTCATGTTTTGTTTATTTTTCCCCACTGATTTAAAAAACATGATATATGTGTTTTTATTTAATTAAGATATGATCACTTTTATTTTTATTTTATTAAGAAGTGGTCACTATGAGTTAACTGTCATTAATAGTTAACATATTTGGTTATGTGGTATCTTGGTATAATCACACATTTGTTCTCTATTATTTTCCACCAGTAACACATGACATCATTCGATTGGATGATTAACTTTACTTTAATTTAATATATTTATTTTTAGCAATCAAAGGATGACATGTGTCACCCTCTTGTTGAAAGAAAACAAAGCAAAACAAATTGAGATAAAAAGATTTTAACTTTGGTCTCTTAAGAAATCAAGCATATACCCAACCAATGCACCAAGACCAATGCTTGATCTAGACAACATGATATATATATTTTGTATCTTAGTGTATAAATACTTAACTTAAATTTATAATATTTTTTATATTTTAAATTTAAGAAATATTTTTTATATTAACTTATTAAATATAATTATTATTAACTTAATTTAAAATATACATTTTATTCTTATCAAAACTTTTAAAAGTATATTTTATTATTATTTTAGCTTTTCAAAAGTATATATTTTATCTTAATTTATTAAATATATAATATTATTATTTTAAATTATTAAATATATTTTATTCTTATCTTACTTTCAAAATATTTTAACATAAAATATATATTTTTAAAATAAAATTCAATAAAAATATTATGAATTTAAGTTACGTATTTATACACTAAGATACAAAATATATACATCATGTTGTCTATTTTAAATCAAACAATGGTCTTGGCTCAATTGTTGGGTACATACTTAGTTTTCAAAGTGACCCATATTTTATTTCCGATTCAATAGTTGGCTCAATGGTCTTGTATTTCTATTCCTCCATAAGTAGCTAAGTTTTTATTTCCAATTCAAGGGTGAAACAATCCCACTGTAATTTTGTGAAGCTTGTTCTAAACTAGTATTTGTCCTTTAATTCAAGTAATCTTTATTTATTATTTTTATTTTATGAACTCTTGATATTGATTAAATGACGACTTCACTATATTGAGTTTTCTGTCTCTAATCATAAGTAACAAGGGTAAATCTCATGATTTATGTTTGTTATGGATTATTATTCGAACTTTGCATCACACATGATAGTCTTCGGGGAAACAAATGTACGAAATTAATTAATTATGTTTTAGTCGTTCCCACGATTATCATTAATGGTAAGATTTGATTTGAATGCTTGTTGCAAAAGAGTAGGCTAATCAATTATAAAAGGGGAACCATGCTTGTTACAGTTCCCAGCAAGTGATTAATTACTTGGATATTGAAAACCGGTCTTTTAAGCCTATGATCAAAATTACAGTTGAATGAATAATACACCTTTGAATCGGAAGTTAGGTAAGAATTGATTTTTGTTATTTTTATTTTTAGCTTTATTTCTTGATTTTAGTTTTATAAACCAAAACCCTTAATTTTACTTTTATTGCTTAAACATTGAGATTCTAATTTCAGATCTCTTAAGATTCAACCTAATCTCCCTATTACTACAAGTTTGTTTAGTGAAATCAGTTTTTATTTTGCAGGAATTCAACAACCCTATCAACATTTTTAGTAAAAAAAGAAATGAAGTTACATAGATATTTGATAGTGGTATAGGAGAATGTGGTTTTAATTTGATAAAAAAAAAGTGTACTTAAAATGAAGGATGAATTGAATAAATAAGGAAATCATGTAAAATTGGGGATTAAATTAAAAAATAAAAAATTTGTTATTAAAAATAGAAATTGAAAGTCCATAGATATTCTATGATGGTTTAGGAGCATATTGTTCAAATTTGGTAAAAAATTAACTTAAAATTAAGGATGAATGGAAGGAATAAGAAATCAAGTACCAAATCACAAATCTATCAAAATATTCATTCCACTTTTTTGATTTTTTGAGTTATTCGAAATTTCGAAGCTTCAACTTAAAATCCGAATCGGTAATTTGAGTTGACTCAAATAACTCAAAATTGATTTTCTATTTTTTGAGTCGAGTCAAGTTTTACTAAAAATTAATTTATAAGGGCAGAATTGAGGGTAAAATTATAAAAAGATAAATTTAAACTTTATTTAAAGCTTTTTCTGACACAGTGTGGGATTCTTTATATTGTCACACTTCTTAACTAATGCACAATTTTTTTTTCTAAACACGATAAAAGATGTAATGAAGTAAAACACGAAAAGAGTAATAACTAAATTAACTGTTGAATTACTAATTAATGTATCTAAAATAAAATGAGTATTTTTCTTTAACAATTGAGTGAATTTAAAATGTGTACGAATATTGAAGAACTGTGTGAACCTCAAATATATCGATTTCAATAATTACACAAATTAAGACAAATTTATTGCTAAGACGGTTATGCCACCGCAGAGTTAAACCTGATTTATTTCCGTTGCTCCTATCATTCATGTAAATGATAACATTTGATTTGCAGCAATCTATATTCCCGACCATTTTCATCTCTAGTTGGTATTCCACTTTTTCTCAATATTTGTTTTCTATCTAATGTCAACAGAGTATGATGTCGGCCAAATATTATGTAGATGAACCATAAAAGGACCTTAATTTTACTGAATTTGCAGAGGCTACGGTCTTAATGGAGGAGACATTGTATATTGCCAGCTGACTCTGCTACATAGTTTTATTTTCTCCAATCTCTGGCTAATGTCTCAGCTCCTTTTACATGTTATTAGGACCATTCGAGTGTTTTTTGTTTGTTTGTTTGTTTTTTTTAAAGAAGGAAGTCTCCTTGATAGATTACTCGCATACTTGACTAGTACTGGAAAGAGAGATTGAAAACTGCATCAGCAGGCGATTGTGAAGAAAACTTGATTGGCAGTGGAAGAAAAGCATTGCTGTGAAACCACCCACTTCTTTCAACAAGTTGAGAGGATCAAGTGGTAGCTGAAGAAGCTGAGAAATTTGATCATTAGAATAGTCCACGTCGAGGAGCTTGAACTTTTATTTGACCATTAGAAGCGATGGAACAAGTTTATTCCCAGCTATAAATATGTGAGCAACTTCTTTCTTTATTGCCTTTTATGATATAAACGTTCATAGTAATTTGGATGTTCAAGAACTCTAAACTTAAAGGGGCATGCCAGTTGCTAAAATTTGGCCCGTTTCATCTTTGAATGCTCCAGAGAAAGTCTTTTTAACAGCAAAACATATCCCTTATTAAGAAATTGAGTTTGGAATCAAAATATCCCAAACTTGGATCCAATCTTTGCTTCCAGTACCGATATTGCCCATTGATAGATGCAGGTAATGAACCTTTTTATCGCGTGTGTTTGGTTTAAGGTACATAAATGGAAACGACACTTAAATTTCGACTGGGACATTGGCATTTTGCGCATCAACTGTTTGTCTATTGTTCCCTTTGAGATTCATTCTAAAGATTTGGGCACTTTTTCGCTGTCCCCTGTATCAGCACTCTCTTCTACGTGAGTTGTTTCTTGTTGCTAACTTGTTGATTCTACAAGCACCATGTGATTTCATACAACCAAAAGATTGTTGATACTTTTGTCTTCAGGGTTGGTTCACATAATTAAAGATAAAAGGTGCTTTACCATCTCCCCTGCAGTCAGTTCAAATTAAAGAATTTGGTATTTGGAAATACAGTTCCCTTTTCTGAAAGACTATATCAAAGATTATTCTAAGGTATAGTAAAGTCATAGATACTAATATATTAAGGTTTGGGTTTTTGTCAAAGATTACAGTTATGTTTTGTTTGATCATCGTCAAGCTCGGTTGGCACTTGGCCACTGGCATATATTGTATGCAATTAGAGTTTCAAACTCTAAAAAGAATTCCCTTTTGATCTGACACCTTTTTCAAAGTCTTTCGTTAAATATTATATGATTGTCAGCAGAGCACTAGTACTTAGCAGTTAGTGATCGGTTCTTATTTTTAATAGGAATAAAGTTCCTTTGGCTGTCTTTATGAAACCAATATTTCTTCTTTTAACTTAAAGTTCGAGCTTTATGCTTTGCCTATATTATTCGGATTCTAATGTAAATGTCCGATGAGTATGCATTCAGCATGAGTTTGGTTAAATTTTTTAAGTTCTTTCATATATCTAAAGAATCTTTGAAAGTCATATTTTCATATTTATGTGCTATACATAGACGGATAGACCCTTTAATAAAACCTGAAGAGTCATATTCAATGAATAGAAAAATCATATGCTTCCTTACCAACTCCCACCATGTGATCTCCATGCACCTTTTTTCCCCGCAGCTTTGACATGTAAATCGATACTTATCTGTTGGATATTCGATAAAGCTTTATTTACATTTCCTGCTCAAACCATGTGATGACCTGTTTTTCCATGCAACGTATTATGTTAACTTTTCCTTAGATTCTCTTTTACTTTATCTTAGCTACTCAGATTTCATGAACCAACCTCTCTGACTCTTGCAGATTTCATATCTGGTTATTTATATGCCACATTTGCAGGTTTCTCATTCAATCAGTTCCATTTTCTTCCATCTCACTGCCGGTCTTATGCTTTCCCAAATTCATGGTGTTTTGGAGACTGTTTTGCAGACTACAATTCTCTGAGGTATGTATGTTGGGACTTTTCCTTCATTTGTAGTTGAAAGCATTGAATTATTTTTGAAAGTAAGCTTAATGCACAGGGTATATTGTTTCAGCTTAATGGCTGTATATGGATTGTTGGTTGCATGTATGCATCTTGTGATCAAAGTGTTTTAAATATTCTATAAAATTGAAGTAGAAAAAAGAAGATATAAAATCCAAGCTCACTTTCTGCTTCTGAGATCACTAGCATGAAAACGATAGGGGTTTATATTAATAAATTAACGGATAATGTTGTCACCGACCTTTGACTGTATATGTATTTTAGTATTGCAATAATTGCTTAATATTTATACCTATATATCAAAGGAATCCCTAAGGGGTTTCCTGTGGGAGTTTTCTTCTTATTCTTCTCATTTCAAGTTTAAGAAAATTACTACCTAGTTTACGTGGTAATAGTATTTAATAGAAGTAATTATAATTTAAGGGGTTGCACTTAGGCGCACTGGCTTTCTTTATTTGATTTTTTTCTGTCAAATTATGATATTAGCCCCTCTAATGTATAAAAATTGTGGATTTAATCCCTATACTGTTTGAGTTTTAAAATATCAATTATGAACCAAACAATAGTAGTTAATTTTATTATGTTAAATTCTTCTATTAGTCGCATGCTATGTGTAAATTATAGATTAGTCCATGTTCTCCAATTGTAATATTTTTAGTCCTTATATTTTTTTAATTTTGAAATTCAAATTCTGACTTGTCAAATAAGTCAACTAAATTAATGTTATTTTTGGATGTATTATGTGAAAATTTGAAGTTAGCATTACATGTGATAATATGTTTACTATATAAGATTTTGGAGATAGCATAATTTACCTTAAATGAATTCAATAATTATCATATGAGCCATGGTTGAAATTTCAGAATTCAAGGAGATTATGGAATAAAAATTATCATATAAAAGTACGATTATCAAATCTATCATTTATATATGATATAAAGACTAATAACAAATTTTTTTTTCTTTTGCTTTCAAAGCTTTATAAAAAAAACAAATCTATAATCTTACGTTATTATGATAGATAATCTATAAAAACAATCTCAACGATTATCTGTTGAATTGGAGAGAAAAATCAATAGAAACGATTGATCAATCAAACTTCATAAAGAAACTCAAAAAGGGATTCTATTTTTTTTATTAACATGGTGTAAGTATAAAGTAATATATGTTCAAAGATAACCCTCAACCATTTGACATTGAACACTCACAGAAAGGGAATTCTAATTACTTAAAAATTAAAGTTATGTTTCTAATTTTTTCATTAATTTGTTACTTGATTTAAAAAATCATTTTTTAATTTTTTCCAATTTTTATTTGATTAAAAATAAATAGATTAACATTTCAAACAAATAGATAAATATATTGATCTTATTTTAAATGTTATTTTTATTGGTACTTCTATGATATAAATTTGTGAATGGGACACACTTAGGGCATGGGCTAGTGTTAATCCGATATAAATTTGGGTGCGGGCCATGAACCAACCTTGCTATTTCATTGAAAGGGCTCAATGTGGGGATAATGAAGTTTAAATGGTTTAATCATATCAAGCTTCTTCTATTTATTTATAAGAGCTATGGGCCCAAAATGAAATGAGTTGATAGTTAAACTCAGATTTCTTCCTTAAGCATCAGTTATACTAAATTACAGAAATAAAGAGGGGAAATTACTAGAAACAAAAATTAAGGAAATAAAGGCTTTGGAATTACCTCCAAGATCATATCTTTTAAAGTGGATTTTTTTGTTACTTCTTTTTAAAAAGCAGGTGTACTCGGTCTTTTCATATTTATAGGAAAAGAAATTTCATTCTCCTAGATATTCCAAAGCTTAGTTTTCGCTGGGTGCCATCTTATAATTCATAATACATTGAAATACATTTATTGCCTGACTACCATTGCGACTTGCAACTGCCTCTTTAGATGCTACAATAGATTGTTTCACCCGTTTTACTTGGCCTTCTTTCAGAATTTGTTGAAAGAGTACTAAAAATGCAAGAGAAACTTTTTTGCTAATAACGTTTTTTTTTAACTAAAAACCAAAAGACTACAGTACTAGCATAAAGCTGGTGAGGCAATGAGAAAAGCTTAACACACCTAAACACCAGTCTTAAATAAGCTCCTCACATATAAACACCAAAAAACTAAGACTAGGAGCTTATGTAAACAGACACCCTAAAAGCAATGTAAACTCTCAGGAGTTGATAACTTGATATTGCACAATAAGCATGTTTAAAGTGTTTTTCCCCCATTCTCTTCTGGTTTGGTTTTGAGTCAAGGTGTTTTTTGTGTTGTTGTTGCCATCGTACTATTTGGTTTTGGTCTTAAGGTGTCTAATGTTGTGTGAGTTGTGGTTTTTGCTCCCTACAACACCTTTTAATTCTTATATGTACCCATTTTTGGTAATCAAACCTACGTGATTCCCCACATAATGGTTTCTAAAATAGCCGTTCCGGGATGGACTTTTGTTAATAAGTGCAGCACAGTCGAGGAAGATGGCAACAGTTATCCTTTGGCTGAATATGTATGCAGTTATGTAAACTTCAAAAAATGTCCAACCATTACACTTAGTCACTTACTACTACTTTTTAGTATTCTTAAAACTTAACTTCTTAAAGACGATCGTTTTGCTTTATACTCGGTGTTTATATGTTATTTAAATTTGAATGTGGATTAGCGTTACCTCAAACCCTAAATCCTTCTTTTTCAATTAACTTCCTAAAACTTAAAATCTTTGTGTTAGACTACTGTCCATAACAGAAAGCTAGCCATTGTTGACAGTTAAGCTATTCTTCCTAGAAGCAGCAGAGGTAACTTGCCTGAACACTCATTACCCTCCCTAGGATAAGATACTGAAAACATGCAGAAATAGAGCAAACACACCCAAAATCTCCATGACACAGAGGCATCAGGCTTGAACCAATATGGCAATCCGATCCACTTGGAATTCAGAAAAAAGTGGTTGCTTCTTTTACAGCCAGCAACTCATCAAGAACAGGATCAGATAGTTTTAGCGGGATAGAGAAACGAGCAAACACTTCCCAACACCATCTTGCAGAATACTGATATTTCAATGAAGTCTTTGCCTCACAAAAAGGAATTGTAAAATTTCTGATACATTCTTTCAATTCTTTAATTAACAATCTAAGCCCTATATTTTCCACTAACTTTTTAGAACTTAAACCATATTTCTCAAGTTACATACAGGCACAAATAATCAGGATTTAGATAGAACAAACAAAATGAAATCATGTTGCTTGTTTTGCTATATTATGCTAATTAACCTTATTTTGCAGTAATTTTCATTGCGTATCATATGTATGTAAGTAAATAATATAACCTCAATTTTAGATGCTTGAATATAGAGTTCTTTGTCCTTGTTTTTGTAACCCTAGCACTGCAAGGTAGATTAATTAAGCTTGCATGCTTCCTTTTACAGCATCATGCTAGCTAACGCGTTCCCTAAACCCTAAATGCCAAGTAGAAGTTGATTAATTTGAATAAGCAAAAAATTTAGATTATTCTTACAAAGTTGGTATGTTTTATTGTGTTTTTATAATATGCCATTTTCAGTCCCACTTTCTTTCGCCGTCCTTAGCTGTTAATCTGATGTCATTTCCGATGAGAGTTGAGCCAACAAACACTACATAGTAGTTGACAGCTAACACTGAGATTACGATCCCTAATGTTACAAAAATCTATCAATAATACATTATCATAAATATTTGAGCTAACAGTGATATATTTCACTTCACCATTTTACAATTACTTTAATTTTCCCATCATTGAGCATAAAAGTTGAGAAAACTATATCCAACAGTAACAATGGCAGCAAGGAGCATGTAATCAAGAACCTTTAAAAACTTTGGTTGAAATATGATCCTTAGTTAGTGTCATTCCAGAAGAGATCAAAGCCTAAAATGGTCTTTGTCATAGATCAACACAAAATCCTTATATATTAGCAATAACTGTGAGTACACTTGGATACAAGGCCATGATAGGATAGAATGCATAAATGTCTTAGGGAAAGTGAACCCTATCCCCAAACAAGTAATTATCATTCAAATTGGAAAGATATGATGGAATTAGCATAGATTTTCAGACCCCACTACCTAATTTTTTTCTGATTTCTATTAGGTGTGTTGGGTTATGAATGGTTGAAAAGGGTGCAGTTGGTGAGTCATGAACGCTCGCAAATGCAATTCACTGTACTGTATTCTTATTAACTCTTTATGGTGACCACTCTATACTGCTATTCTTTTAATTGTTTAATACACCTCAGAATTAACAATGTGGAGTAAACAATATGATGCTTTTAGCCTTTACTGAAGATACGAAAGCTTTGACCAATAGATCCGTTCGTGCTGGGAAGTTGAAGAGAAAATGCGCTGCTGATGGAAGCTGCTGGACGGATATCCATGGAAGGTTTCATGAATTAGGTCGATGGAAGCTTTTTGAAAGCTTGGGGTGCGTTTTCTAAGTCAATCTTCATGTGTTCATACTTCACACTCAATAACATCATTTCATTTGAATGTAAATTAAGATAAATTAAACTAAAGTGACTTTCCCTTCCAACAATACCATATCTAAGATTAGAGACTCCTTTTTAGAAGTTAAACGTTTACCTTTACACATAAACCTTACTGATAACTGTTTAATGTATTTTAAGGGATTGTTTCATTTCTTCATTGGAGATGGAAATTAGGACCCAGAGAGCTGTAAATGTGGCAGATGAAGTGTCGAAACTAGAAAGTCTTGAGTTTAGATGTAATAGGTAGAAACTTAACTGGGTTAGCAAATCAGTTGTTTAGTTGGCACTTCAACCATAGTTTTTTTTAACAATGATAAAAGAATTAAAAAGCTGTCTAGGTGACATCAGTTAACTCTCCAAATTATTTATTTTAAACCCTTGTTCTATTTTATTTGAGTAGATAGTCCACCGGACAAGGAACCCTAGTTGAAGAAGTAATCTCTGTGTTTTTTCCTCTTAAAAAAATAAAAAATCTTCTGCAATCTTTCTTGATGAATCTGTTAATTATATGTTTTCCCGTTTCCATGAACAAAATCTTTGTTTGTCTAGTTAATTGGTAAAAGTTTTTGCTGACAGAAGAATGAGGTAAGTGAAGAAGAAAGAAAAAGAGTGAGATAAAGAGGACACATAGGGTGTGCTTAATTCTCTTTGTTGTTAGGGTTTGACTTGGGGGCCATTGATGTGATGCTGTATAACGAGCTTAGGTTAGAAAAAAATGGTAACTTATCAGGTAAGAAAGTAGAGATTTTTGACAAACAACACCCCCTGAATTATTGTCTGTATATGCGGAGCAGGCATTGATGTTAATAGCATCTGCAAGAGTATCTATAATTCAACAGTTTTGGTTGTGTATATCTGTGTGTCTGTATATATTCATATATATAATTAAGTAATTTACTGAGCTTTCTTTCTTTCTTTCCTCTTATTATTATAATGTACTGATCAAAATTGCATGCAACTAAGTACATTATAAATACGTATACATACTATAGTGTCAAGCTGAAACGTATAAATAAGCTCGAAAATACATTCACATTCTCCTTTCCCTCCCCCTCTGATCCTGACTTAGGTTACTTTGACCTTCCATTTTTTATTATTGGCATGATTCAAGTGATAATTCAGTTTTAAATTCAATTAATATATTTTAAAATTTTTAAAAATTAAATTAGAATTTGATTAGTAGCCTAGAAACCTACGATGTTATTAATCTATAGGTGAATCTTTAATACACAATAATTTTATTCATCGCTAATAAATTAGATAATAATATATCATCAAAGATTAATTTAATTTTAAATTTCTGACACGATACATTATCATTTACTTTACTGAAAATAAAATTATACACCCAAATTACAATTGCTTTAATTATATGATGTACTCCCTCGGTCCTATTTTTTGTGTTTGATATTGACTATGCACATAGTTTTAGGAGATATATTCGATCAAGATAAATGATAAAATTATCTCTAAAAGGTGATTGATAGATTTGACAGATTTGTTTTGATAGGTATAAAATAGTGGGATGTAAGGGTAAAAAAGAAAATATAAGTGTCGTTGTTTGTTGATTTATCTAATAGAACACTTTGAGTAGGATAATTTTAAAAATAAAAAGAAACACATTTAGTGGGACTGAGGGAATATTTTTTCTAGTTGATATTTTTATTAAAAAATATTGTAGGTTATAATATATATTGTGGCTTGAGTATGAGATAATTTTTATATAAAAGAATTAGACTTTAAAGCACGAACCAACTTATATCAGTAGTTAAAAGAATTGTTATTATTCTTAGACGTCAAGGGGTTTGAGCACCAATAACTATAGCAGGGTGATTGAGCTTTTATTATCAAATGATTGAGAGTATTTAAAATCAATATTACTTTGTAATCATCTTAGCTTAATAAAAAATAGAGTTTAAAATATATAGATTTATTTATCTATTTAGGAGAAAGTTTTAAGGGTTTAGAGCGAAATTTAAAAGAGTTTGTTGCAACGGTGCAACCCCCAGCTCTAAGCATCAATCTGTTGGGTCAAACAGGTCACCATCGCTTCTGTTTTAATTTTCTTCTTCTTAAAGTTAAACCACCAGAGGTTTTTCATGGCTAATTCTAAATCAATTTTGGTAATTCGGGTAAAATATATATTGATAGTGCAACGTGGAAAGTGAGCCTTAAGAGAGATCAACATCATAATGCAATACAAATGAACAATTACGACATGATATTCGGATGCCCTAACCGCTTTACTTACATCACCATGTTGGTTTAGAGCGAAATTTAAAAGAGTTTGTTGCAACGGTGCAACCCCCAGCTCTAAGCATCAATCTGTTGGGTCAAACAGGTCACCATCGCTTCTGTTTTAATTTTCTTCTTCTTAAAGTTAAACCACCAGAGGTTTTTCATGGCTAATTCTAAATCAATTTTGGTAATTCGGGTAAAATATATATTGATAGTGCAACGTGGAAAGTGAGCCTTAAGAGAGATCAACATCATAATGCAATACAAATGAACAATTACGACAATGATATTCGGATGCCCTAACCGCTTTACTTACATCACCATGTTGAATCTTAACCTAGCTACTAGGATGGCAGAATGACCTGAACCCGACGGGGAAACTCGAAACCCGGTCAAGTTCGGGTCGGGTTTGAATGATATTAGGTCGGGTATCGAGAATTTTTTCGAGTCGGGTTCGGGGACGGGGCAAGGTATCCCTGCCCCGATTATATATATATATATATAATATTTTATATTTTTCATATTAATTATATATATAATATTTTATATTTTTTATATTAATTATATATATAATATTTTATATTTTTTATATTAATTATATATATAATATTTTCGGGTTTGGGTTCGGGTTCGGGTTTGAGTATAATATTTCGGGTCGGGTTCGGGATAAAAAAATTTCCGACGGGGCGCCCCGATAAAAAACCCAACGGGGATCGGGTCGGAGATGGGGATTTATTTCGGGTTCGGGGACGGGGCGAGCAAAACCCGCCCCGAACCCACCCCGTTTCCATTCCTACTAGCTACCCCTTCAATCAAGTTAATGGCATTTTCGGAATTCTTACCACCACATATTATTATATTGTTTAGTGGGTAAATTAATAATTTACATTACTAATTAAATGCATTCGTAAGCTATTATATTTTATTTAAAAAATTATGTTTATTGAAAAAAATGAATAATCACAAATGAAATATACTTATAAATTAGATCATTAAATAACTTCTACGTTCATATCTTAATATTATAACTTAAGTAAATTGAGTTATGAGAATCAAACTCATAAAAAAAACTTTTGCAATGATTAATTCAAATTAGTTGATTAGTAAATCATATATTATTGATTAGTAAATCATATACTATTGATCATAAAAAAAATTACATGCCATTTCCTGATAGATTAAGTTGGAGTTAGATTTCAGAATTTTTAAAAAAAATAAGTAAACATATAAATAATAACACGAAGAATTTTATATATAAGTGAACATAAATAAAATCTTAATACGAATATAATCAATAAATAAATAGCATAAATATAGATTTTAAGGTGGATATCTATCTTAATATAACATGAATCCATCATGATTGTTGAGTCCTGTGATGATACTACCAAACTGTGGCATATGCGTCTTGCTCATCTTAGTGAACGTGGTATGGCTGAATTACATAAAAGAAATTTGTTGCATGGTGTTAAAAGCTGTAAGCTCCATTTTTGCAAGTATTGTGTTCTTGGTAAACAGACTAAAGTTAGTTTCAAGACTGGGAAGCACACAACTGAAGGGATTCTTGATTATGTGCATTATGATGTATGGGGGCCTTCCACGACATCGTCTTTAGGTGGATCTAGGTATTATGTTACTTTTATTGACGATTTTTCACGGAAGGTTTGGGTGTATTTTTTGAAACAAAAGTCTGACATTTTTTAGAAGTTCAAGCAGTGGAAAACTGAGGTATAAAACCAAACAGGACGAAAAATCAAGTGTTTACGGTCTGACAATGGTACAGAGTACACAGATTCACAGTTTCTAAACTTCTGTAAAGAGCATGGAATTAAGAGACATTTTACAGTGTGCAAGTATTATAATATGTAAAGAAGACTGAAATCTTAAAGAAAGCTTCTCAATTCTTCATTAATGAAAGCATGGTTTATATACACATAATAACCAACTCCCTAAGCTGGTAAGCTGGTGTAACATAATACTAACAAACTAACTGCACTACACTCTACACACACACACAGCAGATTGCTTCAGTATTCTAGAACATTTACTTCAATATTCCCCCTACTTTTTCTCTTCTTGACTTCAGGAAATGAAAGCACACCAAGCCTTTGCTTAAACTGAGCAAAGCTATATTTTGTTAGTGCCTTAGTAAGCACGTCTGCCACTTGATGTTCAGAGGGTACAAAGTTCACTCGAAGTTTTCCTGCAGTAACTCGTTCCTTCACGAAGTGTTTGTCTAACTCTACGTGCTTTGTCATAGAGTGGTAAACTGGATTAACACTCATTGCAATTGCACTGGTGTTGTCATTCCACACCACTGAAACAGCTTGAACTCGAACCTTCATATCACTCAGCAATGCTTCAAGCCAAATAGTATCAGAGGTGGTATCAACTAGGCTCTTGTACTCAGCCTCTGTGGTGGACCTCGAAACTATCTTCTGTTTCTTTGAACTCCACTGAACCATACTACCACCAAGGAAGACACAAGTGCCTGATATGGACATTTTATCGTCAACATTACTTCCCCAATCGACATCAGCAAAGGCTACAAGCTGAAGTGGTTCTGTCCTTGGCAAAAACAACAAGCCATAATCGAGTGTCCCCCTAAGGTATCTTAGCACATGTTTGACAGAGACTAAGTGTTGTTCGCATGGTGCATGCATGAAATGTGCTAGCTTATTCACACAATAGGCTATGTTTGGCCTTGTATGACAAGCATACAGCAAGGACTCGACCAAACTGCGATATTCCCTTGCATTTTCTATTAGACTGTCTGCATCATTACTTGATAGTTTAATCGATGTAACCATAGGAGTTGGAGTTGATGTGGCCTTACTCATTCATGACTTATCTAGTAGCTCCATTATGTACTTCTTCTGGATGAGAAACACTGCACCATCAACACACTTAACTTCAATTCCAAGAAAAAAATTAAGCGTGCCCAAATCTTTGAGTAAGAACCTCTCTCCTTGCAACTTCACAACTTACTCAACATCCTCATTTTTGCCTCCTGTAAAAATGATATCATCAAAATAGGCTAAGACATACTTGCTAGTATATTTTCTATGTTTGATGAACAAGGAGTTATCTGTACGAGAGCTTTGAAACCCCAAGTCCACTAGAAAGTTTTTCAACTTGGAGTACCAATTTCTTAGTGCTTACCTTAACCCATACAAGGCTTTTTGTAATATGCACACCAACCTTGTTCAATATACAGCCTGTTATTCAAAGCCTTGAGGTTGTTCCATGAACACCTCTTCATGTAATTCACCATTTAAAAATGCATTATTAACGTCTACTTGCCTTAGACTCCAACCATTGCGAGCAACAATTGTCAACACAACATTTACTGTTGACATTTTTACAATAGGACTAAACGTTTCTTGAAAATCCTAGCCAGGCACCTGTGAGAATCCTTTGGCTACAAGTCTGGATTTATATTTTTGTACAGAACCATCAGCATTACGTTTGACCCGAAACAGCCACCTACAACCTATAATATATCTTTCTTCTAGAAGAGGGACAAGCGACCACATATTATTCTTTTAAAGTGCTTCATATTCAGCAAGAACAAC